CATCTAAACTGTTGTTAAAAATTGACTTAAATTAGGTTCTTAACTGTTACAAACACAGTTCTAAAGAATTAATGAACAGGTAGAGTTCACTGCCTTCTACTTATCTTCAGCTGCTGCCTACTAGTGACGACTGATGTTAAACTTTCTAAAAGTGAACTTCTCTTCACAGCTGATAGGTATTCAGGATGGGTATCTCTCCCTGCTGACAGAAAGTGGTGAAGTTCGTGAGGATCTAAAGTTGCCAGAAGGGGATCTTGGCAAAGAAATAGAAGGAAAATTCAATGCCAATGAAGATGTGCAGGTAAGTATAGAGGGCAGACAAGAAGAGTTATGGTTAATTCCACTTGATTATACAATGAAGAAGTCTTATTCTGATATTGACCATTTGTATCTCTCCGTGAAGAGCAGGTTAGAAGCACGGGAATTGGTCCTTTGAGATGTAGGACTTTTGTACTGGAGCACTCAATATGGCACTGAGGCCCAGCTCAGTTGACAGTGAGGTGATACGGGTGTCTCTCAAATGTCTAGATAAACCATAACAGTGCTGTCTGCACGGTGTGGATTGGAGCCTCCAGGCTTTCTTAATAGGGACCAAGCGTAGAGTTTTGTGATGTAGTCTGAGTAGTCTAATTTGCTATGTTAGCAAACCTGTCTGCAAGGAGCTCTGCAGACTGTAGTCTATACTGGGCCACACCAGTTGCTAGTTTGGCTCTATTGCAGGAGCTTGTTCATCTTCCTCTGTTGTATGAACCTCACGCTGTCAGCCAAGGCGATATGGCAAAGAGAAGGCAGCAGAAGAGCAAACTGGTGGGAAGGGCAGATGTTGTGAAAATTCTTCTAATGACTGAATTTTACTAGCTTCAACTTCCTTTTTTCTTCTCAAGAGAGATGGGTTACATATTAAAATGTGAAAGTCTATAACTTCTAGGAGCGCTTCCTCTGGCATGGGTTGGAGCTCACCATCTGTCTTTTCTTCCAGATATCCGTCATAAGTGCAATGAACGAAGAATGTGCTGTAGCCATAAAGCCTTGCAAATAAAGAGGATCACCAGGCTCGGGCAACTGCTCAGGTCTGGACAAACCACAGATCTATAAATTTGGTTCTTATTGTCACCAAAGCTCTGGCCTTCACAAGCAACCTCATTTCTTTTTTGAATTGTTAAAAAGCAGTGCTGGATTCTGGATTAGTGTTGCAGGCTAACTGGCAGTTTTCAAAATCACTGAGATTTTAATTCCTTAATTGTAACTATTTTAACATTCCTGTGGGTTTCAGCTATGGATCTAAGAAACCAATCAGGTGTTACTAGTGGATATATTTTTATTTGCTTGAGCAAAACAGTGTTTGTCTGTATGAACAGACAAAATACAGTATTCAGGGGCTTTTAGATAAGCTGGTAGGTATCTAGGATTATAAAGTGACCTAGAGCACAAATAGTATTTTTCTTGACATGTTTAGGTAGAACTGACAATAAAAGTAGCTTTTTTTTTTTTTTTTAAAGCTTAACTATTTTGTGGATTGGGACTCTTGCAGAACTGTAGGTGCCAATCGCAACTTTTAGACCAAGAAACTCAAGTGATCAAAAATGCCAGCTGGCTTGACCAAGCCCCCAGTGGCCATGTGCAACTTAACTGTATTACCTCTGTATTCTTCTTTGCCAACTTGTTGGCTTAATGTAAGGATAAAATGGTGTCAAAGCCTACCTGTGGTTTAGGCAGGCAGTTGGAATATTGGGTAGATAAGACATAGATAGGTCAAGGGGACACAAAGGTGAGAATGGATGTTAAAGCTATAGACTTTCACTCGAGGCCTTTGTCAGACTTGAAAAATAAAATAGAAAAATGCAGTTCAATTGCTTTCCTTTATTGTATTTATCTTAAACTATAAAAGGGTCACAAACTCCATGGGAATCTGTTGCAGTGCTTCCAGCTTTAGGTTTTAATCTTCAGGTTCAGACCATATTTTTGTAGCACAGAGACCACGTGTTTTTCAAAAAGTGGGACAAACTGTAGCATTGAGCCTAAACTAAATGCATGATTCTTTTTAAAAAAATACAACTATTGTATTTTCAAATTATAGACTTGACAGACAATACTGAACAACCATGGCTTAACTATAAAAGTAAATAAATTGCTACATAGTTATGAAAGCTAGCTCCTCTCCAAGGGAGTTCTGAGTCACTGAAACATGCATACGTGCCTCTAACTATTTAGTAGCTTAACAGGCAAACACAGGGCTTCACAGAACTAGTCATGGAAGGATAACTAGCCTGCTCCTGTTTAAGGCGTTCAACTTGAATTCTAAGACTTGGTGACTCTTCATGAGTGGGAAACTTCCTTAGTCCGTGGCTCAGACCTCTCTTTGCAGTTGCTAAATTGTTTCATGAACTTGCCTTAAGCTTCAGTGGCTGTTGGCTAATGGAGGACAACTTGTAAACACATGGCATGCTGCCCTGGACAGCACGCACAGTTCACACTCTATTGGCAGTGAGAGTCAGACTTCACACTGCTGTTAACTGCTTAAAATGTTTTCAGCTTAGTAGTATGTACTCTCTAATCCCCAAAGGGCTCATGGCAACTGTCCTGAACTGCCCTTGTACATACTGTGGCAGGGCTTAGCAAATCTTGGAGGTCTAACGTAGATGGCAAAACCGACTTCTCATGACAGGGAGAGCAGTACAGTGAAGGTAAAGACAGCAATAAATATACTCTGGTAATAAAGCACAGTTACCTGGGACACCTGGCAGAAGTAGGATACTGCCACACGCTCTTGCCTAGCACAGTACACATTGCAGGTGAACTCCATAAATAGCACCTTGACTGAAACGGCAAAACCGCTTATTAAAAAAAAAAAGCTGTAGATGCAAGAGATTGAAATGCATTCCGAATAGTTTGAAGTGCATGCTTAATAGTTCAAGCTAGTCTGCACTGTGCTCCTTTCTGCCTCTCCATCGAACTGGTACCTGAAAGACAGGCTTTGTTAGCTTTGGAGGTGACTGTGAAACCATTGATGATGGTCTTGCAAGCAAGGTGAGCTGTGTGATGTCAAATGGGAAGTCATAGGTTGCTATGTCAAACTAATACAAATTCTAATGCTATCACCGCATTATGAATGCTTCTAATATGCTTGATAACTACAAGACTTGGATTTGTCCTTGTTCTGGTAGTGCTTTAGTCTACTTTCAGGTGCCTATCTGTCCTCTAAAACCTTGTTGGAAGGAAGACAAGCACTTGATGTCCCTGGCCCACAATCTGAGCATTTACTTAGACTCTAAGCTCTCTGGGACGAGGGCTGTTTTTTGTCCTGTTCCTACAGGTGGGGTCCTGGTCTGACTGGAGTTTTCAGGTACTACAGCAATCTAAAGATAGAGGTTTTATGACCTCCAGCTGGCTGGAAGAGCCCTCCTTGGGACATATGGATGTCCTCCTATTGCAACCTTCAGTTCTGCAAGATTTAAATGATTAAGTACTTCATTATAGGTTTGTTCTTATATACTTAGTTGTCTTTTGTGAAGCACTTCGAACACTATGGAAGTGCAGAGCATTGGCTCGTCATGCATGAAGTTTCCCATAGGTGATACATAAGCATGAGTCTTAAGCATAATCTCCAAGTTTCAGTAAGGTTAAAAGTTGCTTCTAAATTAGAACATGTATTTGAGGCATTTTTTCCAAAGTAAGATGTTTCAGTTTACTGTCAGAATCGTTTGCAACAAACTTTGTTTGTGATAAATAGTCCATATAGATGTGTATTTTTAAGATCCCTAACCAAATGCTTAGGGAAATTATCCTTTCATAGCTTTACTTTAAAACAAATCTTACCAATGTACTTGTTCTGTAGTACTGTCTTAATACTTAAAGTGTGTCAAAACTGAAAACTATAAACTTGTAATAGCTGAAGCAATGGCTTAGAGTAAAGGCTGTGAAAACTAGGAGGTGAAGAAATGTATTTCCACTCCAAATAATGCATTTTTTTTTTTATGGCTCCAATTCATTGAGTTTCTCTTACTACTTTACAGAGTTGGAAAGACTGCAGTGTTTCCTGCCTTCAAATGTTGGCAAATAATACTTTAAGATTTCAATAGATCCTTCTAATTTGTGCTTATAATGGTGGTTTTTCAACTAGGCTCTTGCTAGTTGAGCCATGTTCTCAGGGCTGTTTTTTTTAAGAAGTTAGCTGAATTTCATTGTTTTAACGTAACTGCTTTCAAGCCTCCTGCAGGTTTTTCTAATCCACGATGTACCCAGAAATGGTGCACAGTCTGTAGTTTCACAGTACAGGTAATTTTACATAATCTGTAAAGAAGTCAAATTTGTTGACAGTTCAAACTCCTATGGTTACTGCAGGTCAGTCTCACAGAATTCAAAATTCAATAAACCCCACTTTTTTGGTTGAGTAATTAGAATGTAGTTTGTTACAGTAGAACCAAACTTCAGGAAGAAAAAAAAAAGGCCTTGTTAAGGATATTTTGAGTATCTCGCTTGTATGCTGAGAATGTTAATGGAGGCGTTGTGGTGGAGCGTTCAGCACGGTACGCCGAGAGCATCGGAAGTCTCCAGCATCTGCCGTCTGGTCCCACAGTATCTGGCATCTGAGAGTAACTTGGTTTGTGAACTTAAAACGAAATGTTTGCTGTGTAGCGCTGTGTTGCAGAAACCCCCTGTTCTCAGTTGTCCTGTGCTGTATATTGTAAGCGTCGCTATTGTTCGGTGTGGCTTTCAAAATGGGGAAAGAGGAATGATGGCGCCGATTCATTTTACTGATCATAGCAAAACCCAAACCCTGTAAATCGTGCAAACCGGGAACGGTAGTCCTTGCGGTTGAGACGTGTATCCGTTTTGGAAGCTGTATTGTTTTTGACACCATGCAAACGATCGGGGGGGAAAGATGTAAACGTGTGTTTTGCTCCAGAAACAATAAAGATGCCAGTGCTGCGGGGAGCAGGGTGCTGGCTGAGATCACGGGGACCGCTGGAGAGTCTTTAACGCTTCGGTGGAGTTGTTGAATGGACCCGCAAGCTCCAGCTCCGACTTCGGTGCAGCGAGGACAGTCTCTTCTCGCGGTGCTCGGTCCCCTGCCGTCGGCCGGCGCCCTCGGCTCCCCGGAGGAGAAACGCTTCGCCGCTAGAGCGGCGCGGCCTGCCACTTGTACGAGAGCAAGAGAAACGCTTGCGTTCCTGTCCGACAGAAATAAAAATCAGAAAATGAATAAAACGGTGACTCATTCGTGCTAAAGACGCGCGGCGCCTCTTCCTGCCTCGGAGAAAACGG